CTCTGGCTAATATGTTGCACTTCAGAATAAGCTTTCTCTCAGGCAATAGAATTGCTACTAGAAAATGTGAAAATGGTCGCAACTTTGTAATGTAGGTCCTTTAGATCTTTCTACAGTCTTGCTAGTGGGTAATTAGCTTGTTTTGTGTGGACACACACAGTTCGCAGTTGACTATATAGTGATGTTGTATCATATGCTTTCAAGCACACAGCAAGTGAATTATCTAGTCTGCTGCTCAGCTCCTTTACCACAAATACCTCCTTACTCTTTACTCTTGACTTTATCCTTTTAAATTTAGTTTTCCTACAAACTTCATTCATATTTTAGTATTTAGCTATGTTAATATCAGTACTCTAGTTTGTAGGTGAATTTAAACTTAAGTGCTTTGCAAGAACAAATAATTATTAACTATTTTATTTTTTAAATCCCCAAATTATTTAGACCAAACTATATCTTTTGTCCTAGTGTGTTTTAAACATAAAAAATGGACTCTAATTCTCTTAACAGCTTACAGAGTATAAATCGACATAACCATTTTGGAAAATTATATGGCAGTAGCTACTTTTAAAGCTGAAATATGCTTACCCTATAATCAACAATTCCACTGCCAGCTTTTATGCAATGGAAAAGGCATACATAAAGTCACTGGAAAGTTATGTACAGAAATTACTATAGCAGCAATATACCTTAAACTAGGAATCTTCCAAATGTCCCAGTTTATGGTTGTGTTATCCTATTCAATAGAACATCACAAAAAGGAATGAACAAAGTGGATGCATCTTGCAGACATAGAACTGAGTGAAAGGAGTAAATACATAGAAAGAGAATGAGAGAATTCTGTTTTTTGCAAACTTCAAAGACAGGCAAATTGTGGTGTGTTGGAAGTGAACTTAGTGGTTGAATGTGGAGGTGGTCATGACTTTGCACCTATATCACTGTAGGTGCAAAGGGACTTCTGAGAGTGTGGTATAGTTGCCTTGTCTATTTATCAGGTGCTTTACTTTTGTCAAAACGTGTACACACTTACAATGATGATTTGTGCTTTTTTCTATATGTATTTGACACTTGAACAAAAACTGAAGAAATAGTTAACCCATTCCATCCAGAAGATGGTGAGTTTTACAGTCAGATTGGCCCTAGGATTTAGGCTCTGTGGAGTACCTTGTCATGTGACCTGGACAAATCACTGAGGTTCCTATTCATTTTCCTGATGGAAACAGGAATAAAAAAATCTGTTATGAGGGTTAAATGGCATGAGTATAATGAATGTTCAGTAATGTATAACATATCATCATATTACTTTGATAATAACTAACATTTATAGTGTTTCCCATATACTTAGCTCTCTTCTAGGGATAGGAGCTTGTACTTTTAATGATCTGATATCAAGCAGTTTATTTATGCACCATTCCAATAAAAAAATTTAAAAAAAATCTTGTTTGAGAAACCTTTTTTGGCAGAGCTTTTATTTGACAAAGGAGGAATCTGCAGCACAGACTTTACCTTTGTTATCTAAGATCACACAGGTCTTAGGAAGATAGGCTCAAATTAAGCTTCCATCAGGCTACATCCTTAACCACTGTATTGTCCTGTATAATAAGGAATTAATAAATGGCAGTTATTACTATTACAAGAGATCCTGCCAGAGACATGGGAGGCTATGGGCAGCAATTGCAGGTGGGCCAAATTGCTGTTATCTAGGAAGCAAAATGCAACTCTAGTTTTAGGCTTTAAAATTCTGTGCTAAATAAATGGCTGTTATTATTATGCAATTATCATTCCTAATTTGAGACAGAGAATGAAAGTACTTAAGTGCTTATTATTGTACTTTATAGAGAAAACAGCTGTGAGGAGGTTTAATGACGTGCCCACCTTTAGTCCATTAGAACCTGCTCTTTTAGGAGCAAATATTAGTATACATGTCAGGGAAGCTACCCACCTTTGAGTTTATATATGAACTCAGGTTTTTTGGAACTTTATTTTCCTCTTTATTTTCAACATTTTCTGTAACACACACTATTTCACAGAGGAAATCTAACTTTAAAAATAAAATGAAGTGAAAACAAAAACCAATCTCTATAAGGCAATAAGAACCACATGTCTTTTAAATGGAAAACATGCTTATTTCTGCTTTGTTTCTTGGCAGTAGTTTGCCAGACACACAGTCCACAGCTCTGAACCGTTTACATAAATACGCAGGCCATGCGCTTGCACACACCAGTTCCATTGCACCCACACTGGCAGCCGGCAGACTTCGAAGGGCAGTGTTAGAAAGATTCCATGTTAATTGAATTCTCTTAGATACTTCTTACACATGACAACCAGTGACATTTGTTGTTGACTGTAGCATTCTGTGTCACTTAGAAATAGGAGAAGCAGCAGTAAATGGTAGGAAAAGGTACAGATACTTAAGGTGAAATGGAATGTCCAAGATTGAGTAGTGCAAAAAAAAAAAAAAAAAAAAATTATGACCATCCACCAGAGGGCACTACCAGTATATACAAAACATTTTCAGTCAAAGTTTACAACCCCCATCCTCCTCACACCCCAATTCTAGTTAAAGAAAGCAAATGTGATTAGGTTCAAACATTGCCATTTTCATCCTGCTTGCTTTTTCTGTATAAAGGTTTTTCCTCCCCACAAAGTGTTCAGCGGACTATATGTTCCCTCCACGGTTACGGCTGTCTTAAATGGCTGTAGCCATTGTAAAAATGTTATTTTACAATAAATGTTGAGCATTTCCAATGTGCTAAGTACTGAGTTGGTAATTGCGATGGTTAAAATTAACTTCTAAACAATAAGGGACTTCTGAGATAAGTATAAGGAAATAACATAACTTAGGAACTATAAAATACAGAAAGCTGATGCTCTTTTGTACTGCTAAGTACTAATCAGTGATGGAAATGTCAGTTTATCTTGAAAAGCCATCTGAGGAAGCATAGAAGCATGTGTGACCAGAATAAGCAGAAAAGAACAAAAGCCGTGAGCACTAGCAGAGTCATAGGAGAAATGTCATTACTAAGGAAAACTGATGACTTTCATTTGATATTTCTGACTGTCTTACAGTGATTTGGAAAACTTTTTGTAATAAAATTTTTATGATTTACCATTTGTTTACAGTACCATAAGAGTTTATAGAATATTGCTTCAACCCTCAAGAGAAACTTAAACGCAGCAATTCCCTTGCTTTAGAGACCAAGTGAGATTTCTGTCCCAACTACTGTAATAGATGGCTTTCATATTTTCCGAAGCAGTTATGCATATTGAATGTTTTCCCTAACTAGAATAGACTCTGTAGCAAGATGCTTCTCAGAGACCCAGCCCTCACGTGATGCTGTGCAATCTTGAGCAAGGTAGGGGTTTGCTCAAAGTACCAAGAGCACAGAGCATCATCCCCCCGCTACTGAGAACCCGCGTCATGCAGCGGTGCCCTAGGCACAAAACCAACTCTGACAACTTGAGTTGAGGAGACCCGTCCAGCTGGAAGTCCTCTTTGTGGTTTTCCACATACTAGAAATAGAAATTTGCTTTGAACAAGTACATTTTTTTAAAGTTAATTTTCAAACAGCATTTGAAATTTAATAGGACTTTTATGATTGGAACCAGATCTAGCACACATGTTGTTAGGTATTAAAGTCTAATACAATTATGTTGCTATTTGATAAAAGAGAAAGAATTCTCTTGTCATAATAAGTTTTCTTCAAAAATAACGGTGATTTTTACTTATATTGGACTCTCTACTGTTTCTTACATTAGGCTACTTAGAGAAATACTCTTTTCCAGTTAAATTAATATGTGTTGAAAAACATTTATTCACCACACATCAACATGACCTCTTTTCAAGTCATTGCACTTAATATTTATGGCCTAAGAATGAGGTAGTTCTGGTGAGTCACATATTTACACTTTGCTGACAGATTAAGAAAAAAATTAACACTGCAATTTCCCTTAAATAATGGGGAAAAGGTGACTTGCCACACATTTATTTTCTGGGTCAGTGTTTTTCCAGTCACTCCACAGAGCCTTAGTGTCACCCAAGGCTTCATTAGGTCTTGAAAGAAAGAATGGGGTGTAGGGAGAGTTGTTAATTTAAAATTGGATAACAGTCATCTGCTGCTTTAGAACAACAGCCAGTCACCGTGAGGGGTACTGTTCTGGATATTGAAAATGATGAACCAGTGCTATAGACTTCAAATGTTTGAAATAATGAATACGAATTAAGTTTCCCAAAGAATTGCCTCAGACATGCTCTTTTCTCAACTGAAAAGACACTTTACCCCAAGGTTTAGATATTTGCTTCTTCAGCATGAAAGTGGGAGAAAACAATGGATTTCAGAAAAAGGTTAAACCAACTTTATGAAGGAAGTAATAGAGAATCATGGTCTCTAGAAAACATAGGAATGGGTGGATAGCCTTTATAATTAACAGAAAAAGAACATTCCTGGCGCATTACTGTGTACACCTTAGCCTCTAGACAGAACATTCAGGATAAAAACAACACTGAAGGCAAATATGATTCATTTAAATTTCATTAGTTACAAATCATCCTTTCTGGTACTTTTCTATAAAGATATTGCTGTGGATTAAATTGCTACTGATATGGAAGTTCTAGCCCCTAATGTCTGTGAGTGTGACCTTATTTTTGGTGAGGTCATTAGAATGGGTCGTGATCCAATGCGACTGCATTTCCTCTTATATAAAAGGGAAATTCAGACACAGAGATAGTCAGGCACTGAGAAGGTGATGTGAAGATGCAGAGAGAAGGCTAGCCACAAACAAGGAACCCTGAGGCTAGCAGAAACTGTGAGATTTGCCTGCCACAGAGTCTCCTCACATCCTTCAGAAGGAACCAACTGTGCCTCTGACATGCTGTTCGTACTTATAGCCTCCGGAACTTGGTGGTGAGAAATTTCTGTCATTTGAACCGCCCATTTTTGGTACTTTGCTATGGCAGCCTCAAGAAACAGACACATACTCCAAACCCCTGACTTCCTGCTTACCTTTGCAATCAGCAGAGCACAGAAGTTGCGCACAGATTGCCCTTAGGTTCAACCACCTGGTCTGGTTCTCCCTCTTCATGTTGCCATCCACACAAGGCATGCTCCTTTTAAAATCTGCCAGACCAAAGCAATTAGGTGGGCAAATCTGTTGTGAAACCTCACATACTGCATTGTGAATCCAAATGTAAATTCTCCTTTGATTATTGTTGTTCATGAAGGAAGCAGTGGATCTAATCACCAGAACTGGATCAAGGATTGATTGTATTTCATTTTCTTCCAAGAAAATTTGGCCAAATAGCTATAGTAGACTGACTAATTAGAATTCTGCTGTGTGAAAAACCTGGAACCACAAGAAGCCATAGTGGACGTCCACTGCTGGCCAAAGAACCTTAGCAAGTCTGTTTTGCAACAGCACATGAGTCCTCTTACAAGGCAATCTGTAGCTGGAATGCACAATCATGTTTATAAACACTGCCTCTATGGATTATTCAGGTGAGATGAAGATGTAAAGGATGTCATAGAAGCAGAGTTAAGATTTTTAAAAACACTGAACTTCAGAATGGCCTACCCTGATATTTGATGAAAAAACTTTAAAGAACGCTCATTTGAACAAGAGCATAGTGTCACCTATTTTCATCTTTTGAACTGTAAACAATACAGGGCCCTCCCTGGTGGCGCAGTGGGTTAAAGCACTGCACTAAGAAGCTAAAGCCACTTCAGCATGAGTTCGATTCCCGTCCTGCCCCGAAAGTGACCCACATCGCGCAGCAGACCTCTCCTGTCTCCCTGCCGCTCCCCTCGATCTGCCTGTTCTTCCCCCTCTCTGTCTCTGGGGAATCCTCTTCTCACCGCCCTGCACCTCTGGCCTGTACCCCAGTTCTGTATGTATAAATAAATAAACCTTAAAAAAAATTGGGGGAAAAGGCGCACAGTATCAGAGTTATAAAGTAACCTTACACCACTAAGTTTTTTCACCTTTCGTATCAGGAAAATATGCACACACCTGGTGACACCTTTTTAAGTGAGACCAGATCTGTCTGTTGGAAAAGAATGGATTAAAAAAGAAAGAAAGAAAATTACAGAAAATGACACATAAAAGGACAGCTTAAGTTCCCAGCAAAGCAAGTATATAGCGAAGTTGATCAAAACTCTAGCACAGTTCTTCTGCCTGTGTTTCCACAGGAAAGTGAGGGTGGAGAGAATCACAAAAGCCTTGGCTCCAGTCCACCCCTGTGGCCTGCTGACACAGGCCCAGCACCCCAGAGCACTGGGGTCACACAGCAGCTACTGCCAGAAGAGCTTCTTTCATTAAAATTGAGTAGGAAAGAGAACAGGAAGCCTTGCAAGGGGTGGGGTCTGGCCGGGGAGGTGGTTGCTTTCCTCTTCTCACTGAGAACCAGTGGTGGATTGTGTGGTTGTCTAACAGTTACCTTGCTCCAGTACTTGGAAGCTTTATTCATTCCTGGGGACACTGCAGTGGTCCCCAAAGTAGCCAGTTGTTAAGTCAGGGTGTTTCCCCCTATGGCGATGATGGAGTTTATGCTCTAGTGAAACATTCTTAACTATTTTTGTGCTGTCGACCATTCTGGCATAGCTTATACTCCCATTTTCACAGTAATATTTCTGATAATGTTGAAGTACCATTATTGAAATATTGAAAGTATTAACATAATGTTATAAAATATTTTTGACAGTGAATTTGTGACATAGCAATTACATGCTTCTCTGTTAACATGTTAACTAAGATCCAGTCTTCAGTTTAATAAATTACCTAATAATTATAACTTCAAGTTAATTATAAATATGGTAACAATTTGAAATATCAGCCACAGTTTATATGAAAGAAATCATTTGCGATTTCAGTTGCTGACACAGGTACAGGCAGGGCTTAATGAACGGTGCTGCTGTTTGTATCTACATTTATAATGGGAGGCACTGCTCACTTCCCTTGTAGGAAATTCAAAGACCAGTGTCAATAAAGATGAGATGTGCTCCCAGACCCCCTGGTATCTGTCTGTAGACGCCTTCATGGGTCTGGATTCCAGGTAAGGAGCGCTGATTGAGGTTTACCCATGCTGATACATAAGTTTATCACAAATATCCCATTAGTTTTTACCCAACTTCTGATGGTACCAGCTTAAAAAAAAAGTTTATTTAATCATTTAATCTGGTGATAGTCATAATCTAGAATCTCTGTGATGACAACAAAATCTTTTCAAAATCTTAGTGTGTTATGGAGGTTCAGAAAACTTATTACGGTTGTTGCTATTTTCAATTTAAGTCAGGCTTTGTAAGAAATACTGTGGGAATGGGCATGGTTTCATTTTACCATGGGTACTCAGGAGAGGTAAGTCCAGTGAACCACCAGAACCCATCAAAGAGGACTCTTAAAGCCTGGTGAAACTCACAAGCCAGGCAGAATTTCATTTGACTCTCAACACTTCACTCACATTTGGCAAGACATCTTACTTCTAAGTGTCAGTTATCTGAGCTGTTAAATGGGGATTAAATGTCAAGCCCTTCTCAGAAATTTTAAGGGTTAAGTGAGTTAAGGCACATTAAAATGAAGTATCCCTTGCCTGTTGTGTGATCAGAAAATGAGGAGCCATGACAGACCTGTCAGCTATCTCAGCCTGTCTCCTCCCAGCTTCTTTCCTGGGGCCTGCTAGCATCTCCCCTTTAGTGCATGACCCTGGTTTTCACTGTGGACTCTCGGTCTCTTCAGTTCAGAAAGGCAGGAGAGAGTAGGAGAGCTTATACATAAGGTTCAGAGCATACCAGAATAGCTGAAAACTATTTGGAGCCAGTAGATAAGAGTATAAGTCTGGTATCAGCACTAAAGTATTTTGTAATTTTGGGAAATATTTTACAGTCAGCCACCCCCAGTTTCACTTTGCCAAGATTTCCTGAGGGGCCCATGAGGGGCCGTGCTTAGAGCTTGAGAACTAGCAAGTAATTTTACAAAAGAGCTTCATTCCCACCCACTGGGGCTGACTTAACAGCCATAACTGATGGCCCTTCTTGGGAAAAAAATTGTATTCCTATTTCATGAAAATATGGTACGAAAGCTGATGAGCAGCTTCCTGTCCCTAAAGTGGCTGGCTGTATCCCCCAGCAGTGTCCTGTCTTCACGGTCCCTGGTTTCCACCTTGTACTTGGAGATGTAAAAACTAAACACAAAACAAATTAAAAAGTGAAACAACTCTAACTCCAAAGCACACAGAGATACACAGATAACTGATGACTAGGCACGGAGCGCTCCATATGTAGCTGCTGCTTTCAGAAAACCTGGCTTTTCATTGCTACCCCAGTGCATGTAATTCCAGTTGAATGCAAATAGTTATTTTCACTCATGGGGAACTTTGCTTTTAGTTTTCTTTTGTCACTTTTTGGGGAGGCATTTTCAAACTTAGATAAGAAAGCTATTAAAATAGAATAAATGACTCACAAATATACTTTATTGTGATTCACTAGTTATTTATATTTTCCCCTCTTTGTTTTTTTTTCCACTTTTTCTGTATTTCTCTCCCATTTAGAACATATAGGAGATTTTTTTATTATCTAAATATTTTAATATTTACACTTAATAAAAATATTTTCTAATAGAACAACAATGTAATGACTAGTATCAGAAAACTTAATAGTGAGGCAATGATGTTACTTCTTCATATATATCAGTTTTCTTTAAAGGTTTCAATAATGACTTTTCCAGTTATTGTTCTTCCTGTGGATCTAATCCAGGAGCAACTATTGCATGTTTAGTTGTTACATACTGTTTGCTTTTAAAATGAAGATTTAAAAATTTTTTGAAGACTTTGATATTTTTACAAATAATAGGGCATCCTGAAAAATACACAGTTTTTGAAGAGGGACATACCATTTCCCTTAATTTATTTTGTCTAATATTTTCTCATTATTAGATTTAGCATGTGCATTTTTTTTAATGGAAATGCCACAGAAGGACATTGTGTCTTACTAAACCATATCAGAAGCCACAGGTTGTTGGTTTCCCATCCTAGTGAGGTTAACTTTATTCACTTGATCGAGGATTTTTCAGGTTCCCCCATGGTAAAGGTGCCATTTTCCCCATTGATAATTACTAAATAGTTTGTGGGAGATACTGTGAGACTATAGAATATCCTGGTCCTCATAAAACTTTTTACCCATTAGTTTCGGCATCCACTGGTAACTCTTGCTTGACTCAGTACTTTCATCACCTCAAATGGTAGTTTGTGAACTCTGTCATTTTTCCTACATTTATTGGTTGATTTTTTGCTGTATATTACAGTGCATGAGTGTGACACTTATATTCCTACTTTACTGGATGTTGTGCAATCTGCCTCTGTGAACAAAGATAGGTTGTGTCAGGATTCACCAGGCAGGGCCCTTTCACACTGGCCTGGGTTCGTGCACAGGCCCCCTTCACTGGCAAATGTAGTCCTGGTGGTGTTCACTCTCTTGTATAATTTGCTGCCATGCTAGGACAGAAATAAATCTTTAGTTCTTATATAAAGATGACTCATTTTACATTTATAGGAAGGAGAATGATTGACTTAACCATTTTATTTTAATTTGTATTAAATTTTCTTTATGCCAGTTACAATTTCAGACATTTCCTCACATTTGTTGATAGAAGAATAAATCAGACCAAAACCAAAATAAACCCCAACAAAAATATCTAGCCAAGTTTATCTTCCTGAAACTGGGAAATAGTATGAGTTAAAGGAGATAGGCCTAAGACAATGGAGGGAAATGTGATATTCACATTTCTTATGTGTTCACATAAGAAGGAAGAGAACATTACATGAGAGGTTACCTAAAATTTTGGAAAATGGAGAGCACAATAACCATAGCTACTTAATATCTATGACAAAGTTTTCTTTGAATATAATGGGATATGTTTCATTATAATGGCTGATATATTTTCTTGATAGCTGAGCAGTTTTGTTGTTTTTTTTTTTTTCCTGGTGGTCTACATATATTATGGCACATTTCTCTCATTTATTCAAAATCATTTTCTTGATACAGTGTTGAAAAATGTAGTGTTAGGTTATGCTGATTTCACCAGTTCTCAGTAAGAAGAACTGTGCCTTTTACTGAATAGCAATGTCACC